GGAGGAGGCTTGGGCAACTGGGGAAGAAGCACATGAGTTGTTAATTAAGTAATTACTGTAGATAAGATAGATCTGTTCATAATTTATTTGTTTAAATTGAAAATAACAAAATACAGAGTCTCGTAGGGGCGATTTTGTCTTTTCATACAAAATATTGTACAAAAATCACACAAGAGTCGCACGAATAGCGCGTGGAAACGACTTTGACTATTGAATACAAGCGGATATGGGTCGCTTTTTTTTATCACATGGGGTTTTACGGTCTTAAGGATTAACACAGGGGAGGTTTTTGCATTTAACTCGAAGAAGTGGAAAATATTTTTGTTGTAAATTAAAGAGGGAGTGAGTTGTAAAAAAAAAGTAAGAGCATACAAACTTGGTAGAATATGTAAATCGTGGGCAATAAATTGAATGTTTAGATAGTAAAAGGATTTGGATCACAAAATTTAAAATTTATGGCAAAAAGAAATTCAGAATAAGAGATGTTCAAAAACAAACAATGTATTCATTTTGTGGTTTTGTCTCTGTCTGGTTCTCTGTTTCTGTATGTTTTTGTGTGTGCGTGTGTGCGTGCGTGTGTGCGTGTGTGTGTGTGTGTGTGTGTGTGTGTGTGAGAGAGAGAGAGACCAAATGACTATAGTTGCTGCATTCTTGAGTCAACAACTATTCACCACATATGGGTGAATTATTTTCCAATAATTCTCCCCATTCGACTCATATGCTTCAACCAATCCCGTTTTGCTTCTAGAATTTTCGAACTTATTCTCTCGGTAAAGACTTGGTAAACATATCTTCAACATTTTAATCGTGTGTGAATTATATCAAAGTTCGTTAAGCGCATCTCGAATCGAATGGTACCTTACATCAGTATGTTTCGATCTTGAGCGGAAAGTAGAATCCTTACTCAAGTGAATGACGACGCTCACGCTGTAAACAAATAAAGAAAAAAAACGAAAAAAAAAAAGAAAAAAAAACTTACAGCGCGGCTTCTTAGCAACAAGAGCCGATTTATCACCAGTAATCACCACAAGAGCACAAACCATCCACACAGTGATGAAACCTGTTCCTATCCCTCATAACTATCTTTCTCCCCGTAATTTTCGACACGAGCTTAATCACCGCATGACAATCCGGACAAACACGGAGGTTCTTCACAATCTTTATCGTGGACCCTCGTTTCGTACTAATAAGCCCAAACGCAAGCGCAAGCTTTTCGCTATGAACCTCGAGCGATCTCTCCTTATCACTCTCCTCAATATCGTGAAGTACCCCCTCCGTTTTTGAGGTGTGCCCGTGTTCCTTCACCCACTGGTTCACCTGCTCCAGCATTGCGTAAATCTCTCTCCTCTTCGGATGTTTCACATCTCCAGCGAGAAATTCGTGCACTTCGTTATTCACTTCAACCGAGCTGCACCCCGGCTCCTTGTGGACCCCACTTTGCTTCATCATAGCTCTCGTTCGTGAAACCCCCTCCCAATCTCCAACCGTGGCGTATATATTCGAGAGAAGAACGTAAGTTCCGGAATTTGCGAGCCCACGTTCTAGAAGGTACTGGACAATTCTCTCTCCTAGAGGAATATTCTTGTGGAGCCCGCATGCTCCAAGTAATGTTCCCCATAAAACATGGTCGGCTTCGATGGGTGTGCTCTTGACAAGCTCGTAGGCTTCGTTTAATTTTCCGGCTCGGCCGAGAAGATTCACCATGCATCCGTAATGCTCGATTTTTGGCGAAATTCCGTATTTACCCTCCATCGAATTGAATATGGCCCAGCCTTCGGAGACCAGCCCAGCGTGAGCGCAGGCGCTTAGAATGCCAATGAAGGTGATGTCTGTAGGGCGAAGTCCCGACTGAGACATTTCGTCGAACAGATTCAGAGCGTCTCCACTAAATCCATGAATCGCATATCCGTTGATCATTGCGTTGTAAACAACAGCGTCCTTGTTTTTGATTGCATCAAACGCTAACCTAGCATCCTCTAAACTCCCACATCTGCAGTACATATCAATCAGAGCGGTCCCCACGTGAGTATTTATCGAAGCGGAGCTATACTTGAGGTAAGAATGGATCCACTGGCCTGATTCGAGCGCTCCCACCTGACCACATGCTGAAAGAACTGCCAGCATGGTTGCTTCGTTAGGCTTCAACCTAGCCTCCAGCATTTGTCGGAACAGAATCAAGGCCTCGTTTGGCCTTCCGTGTTGAGCATAGCCATCGATCATCACATTCCAGCTCACAACATCCCTCTCCTCCATTCCGTCGAACAACACTCTCGCCTCGTCGATTTCCCCATTCTTTGCATACCCAGTGATCATTGCTGTAAAAGAAACAAGATTTCTCTCAGGCATTGTGTCGAACAGCTTACGTGCAGACACGACGTCGCCGCCTCTTCCGTAAAGATCGACGAGAGCCGTTCTGACGTACGTATCCGACTCGAACCCGAATTTATGAGCGTGGGAATGGAGGGCTTTTCCGAATCCCGACGAACACGCTTTGAGGACGGTGGAAAGAGTAAACGCGTTCGGCTCCACTCCTTCCGTGATCATCTGCACATAAAAACCGAGAGCTTGTTCGTGGAGACCGTTTATGGCGTGGCCACGGATTACGGCGGTGTAGAAGTAAACATCGGGATTCTGAGTACGGTTAAAGAGCGCAACGGAGCATCGAACATCTCCGAGAGAAGAATACGACCGCTGGAGCTTGAAATTCAAGACTGGATGAGTTTCCAAATCATGGCGGATGATGAATGCGTGGATTTGGCTGAGCTGCTTGATGGATTTGCTTTTATCTATGAGCAATGCAAGTTTTTCGGGCTTCTGGGTTAGGGTTTTCTCGGGTTTTGCGGCGAAGTGTGTCGGCTGTACCACGAGTGGAGAAATCGAGGACATAGTTTACTAAATGTGGGGCGTCGTCATCTAACAAGTGCCAGTAGTGTTTGATTAGATTTATCAGCTGAATCAAGAACTAAATTATATTTATCCACAAAGAAATTGGTAGTGTTAAACAATGGAATTTGCAACCAAGTTTGAATTTTTTTTCCACATTTAACAACCACCAGTCCACCACTACAGCTAAATTTAAAAATAAATAAATAAAGGGAGAATCTTTACCAGAGAAAACGAGGGGGAGAGAGAGAGAGGCGGAGACGCGGCGGCGGTGGAAATAAGGCGGTATTCACTCACCGGCGAATGGCGGGGAGAAACAGAGAGTTGGAGGGGATGAGGATTGAGGAAGAAAGAGATTGGGTTTTATTAACTGAATTTTCTTTTGGGCCCTCGTCTATTTCCAAACACTAGTGGTCTTGCACTTAGCCTATTTTTGGGCGTGCACTTTGCCTATCTTGGGCTTGCAAATAGCCATGCTCTTTTTTTCATTTTCTCTTCTTCGTGAAACCCGACTGCTCTTCTTAACCACTCCGTTTGTCTTTTTACTTCTTTGTTTCGTCAACTATTGTGTCACATTTCGCCGTACTTGACAAGTTTTGAAGTCGGTGGTTCTCCACCGGTGACTTTTTTACTCGAGCCACTATTTAAAGAAGAAGGTGGCCTAGTGGAAACTGAAACTGAGAGTAAACCCTTAACACTTTTACCTTGCCCTAAATTAAGCATATGTGTGAAATTTGGGTCTTTGCTTACTGGATAAGCTTGTTCGCCTCGTTTTCAGTCTCAATATGTGGTTTCTAGATGGGTCTTTGCCGTCGAAGGATTAACACTATTCTGGGTCTTCGAGATGAGTCGGGGAACTGGTGCGAAAAGGATAATGAGATAGAAAACATTATTTCGAGCTATTTCCGTGACATATTTACATCAACAAATCCTTCTAGTAATGAGTTGGATGAAGTGATTAATGAAATCGAATCACGAGTGGGACATGAGATAAACGATATGCTCCAAGCTGAATATACAGAGGAAGACATCAAAACTGCGCTGAAGAGCATGCAACACGTTAAAATCGCCGGGACCAGATGGGTTGCCAGCCCTATTTTTTCAAAAATTTTGGAGGATTGTGGGAAAGGATGTGACTAAGTGGGTGCTTAATATACTCAATAATGGAGGGTCCCCTGGGCGCTACAATCATACACATATAGTACTCATTCCGAAGTGCCAAAATCCGGAAAACATGACTCAATTTCGCCCTATAAGCTTGAGTAATGTGGTATACAAATTAGTGTCTAAGTGTATCGTGAATCGATTGAAACCAGTGATGAATGATGTGATATCGGAAGCCCAGTCAGCTTTTGTTCCTGCTAGACTAATATCGGACAATATTCTTATCGCGTACGAGGTCATGCACTATATAAAACGGAGTTCGGCAGAACACATGGCAGTCAAATTAGATATGAGCAAGGCATATGATCGAATTGAATGGAATTTCCTTCGTCTGGTGATGCTTAAATTGGGTTTTGCGGCACAATTTGTTGAGCTGATAATGAAATGTGTGACTTCGGTTTCGTACTCATTCGTTCTAAATGGTGGAGTTTTTGGTGGCCTTACTCCAGAACGAGGACTCCGCCAAGGGGATCCTCTATCGCCTTATTTATTTCTTTTTTGTGCGGAGGCTTTGAGCGCCTTGTTTAGAAAGGAGGAAAGATCCGGAAACATACGGGGACTCTCGGTATGCAATGGGGCTCCACATATATCGCATCTTATGTTTGCCGATGATACTATTGTTTTTTGTAATGCAAACAAGTACTCAGCTAGCAGTATCAAAGGCATTTTGCAGGCCTACGAAAATGCTTCTGGACAAGTGGTTAATTACCAAAAGTCTAGTATTGTTTTTAGCAAAACTTCCAAGAGGAGCTTTATCGATGACGTCAGCGAAGTTCTTCCGATGGAGGTAGTCGAGAAACATGAGAAGTATTTGGGGCTTCCTTCTGTTATTGGTAAATCAAAACGGACGGTTTTTTCGAACATTCGGGACAAAGTCTGCCAAAAATTGCAAGGGTGGAAAGATAAATGGCTATCAAAGGGAGGTAAAGAGATTCTTATAAAGGCGGTTTTACAAGCTATTCCGGCATATGCTATGGGCTGCTTCAAACTTCCATTATACTTTACCAAGGACATTGAAAGATTGATGTCAAAATTCTGGTGGGAGGATACCAAAGGAAAGGGAATACATTGGATAAGGTGGAGTGAAATGTGTAAAAGCAAAACAGATGGCGGATTGGGCTTCCGGGATCTTGAGTCTTTTAATTTGGCACTACTTGCAAAACAATTATGGCGGCTAATCGAGAAACCAAATAGTCTTCTTGGTCGGATATACAAAGCTCGTTATTTCCCGACTTCAGGGGATTTGGGTGCTAAACTCGGTCCTAATCCATCTTTCACGTGGAGGTGCATATTGAGTACTAAGAATATAGTGGAGGGTGGTCTTAGATGGAGGGTGGGAAACGGAGCATCGATCGCTTTATGGTCTGATAGGTGGATTCCCAGGGAGACAACTTTTAAACTTATTACGCCTCGAGGATATGCGAGTTAAAGAACTGATGGTAGAGGGTGCAAATCATTGGAATGAAGAGCTGGTTCGACAACTTTTCTTTGAAGATGATTCGAGGATTATTTTATCAATTCCGTTAGGTCAGCCCTGCAACGAAGACAAGCTCGTATGGCATTACGAGCGTAACGGACGGTTCTCTGTTCGTAGTGCATATTACTTAGCAACCCTTTTCGAAGTCGATGGCAACAGATCTTCCACTAGCCACTCGTACGCCGGTACAACAAACGCGTGGAAATGGGTGTGGTCGATGAATTTGCCTAACAAGATCAAAATATTTGTGTGGAGAGCATGTAAAAATCTATTACCCACCCGAGCTAATTTGAGCAGGAGGAAGATAACGGCGGAGGTTAGTTGTGTTCGATGCGGAGGAGAGGTCGAAGACCTCCGACATTGTTTGGTTACGTGTGCATTTGCAAGGCAAGTATGGGCTTTGAGCAATATCCCATGGTCAATACACAGGTGGAATGGATTTTAATTGATGGATTGGTTCATGCATATGCGAAAATCGGCAGATCGTATAGTCCTCGAGAACTGTGTGGTGATATGTTGGGCACTTTGGTATTATCGTAATAGAACCTTTTTTGAAGGCGATTCGGTCGAACCTATGGACGTCGTCTCTTTTGCGCTAAATTTTGTAAACCAAGTTCGTCATCCCTTTGCCACAGTACTTAGTCTTAGGAACCCGAGTTGTATTGAGGAGGTGAAATGGCAGCCACCACCAATGGGTTTTATTAAGATCAATTTCGATGCGGCTATTAATTCGAAGGATGGAAAGATTGGACTTGGAATCATTGCTCGAAATCATGCTGGGGTTTGTATGGGATGGAAGTCTATTTGTGTCCGGCAAGCACTCGACCCTACTTCGGCGGAAGCAAAAGCAGCTATCGTTGCAGTTGAATTCGCTCGTGATCAAACATGGAGAAAGATAGTCATTGAAGGAGACTCTAGCTTGGTCATTAAGGCAATAAATGAAGTTGAGGAAGATTGTTCAGCGTATGGAACTTTAGTGGCCGACATACATGTCCTTGCTGCGGTTTTTGGGACATTCTCAGCTCAACATGTACGAAGGACTGGTAATCGTGTTGCACATGCACTAGCTAAGCTATCTATATGTGAGTCATATTGTGGTGATTCTTTGCCTATTAATGTCCAAAATATTATTGGTCATGAGTTAATTTGATGAAATGAAATTATTTTTTACTCTCAAAAAAAAAAAAAAAAAAAGAAGAGAGAGTGACTCTGACCTAAGATTTGTTCTCTAGTGTTATCAGTATTGGTGGTGTTTCTAAGTGGACATTTGGTGCAAATTTGGATAAGGAAGATCGAGTTGTATTCAGGTCCATATCTTTCAATTTGTTTACTTTCTACTCTAATTTTACTTCTTAAAGCTATGTAAAAATTGATATGCGGAGTTTTATTTAAATATACAATCTTTGAAAGAATCCCTAACAATATCTGCTTTTTTTTTCTAATACTTATAATATGAACATTAATAGTGAGTGTATTTTCAGTTTTCTTTTTTAAAGTTATAATTAGAAATTTAGAATGATCATTTAATTCCCAATGTATAGAATTATAATGATTATTTAATTCCCAATGTGATATTATACTAGTACTACTACTAGAATAGAATAAAGTCCAAATTAGATGGCGGCCTAAAACAAGTCAAACATTGCCACGATGATTTTAGGGACTGTCATGTAATTTCTTTTCTTTAGAATGACTGCCATGTAAATTTTACTAAACTGCAACAACTTTACTAATATTGGTTCTTTGAACCAAATAATTAAATATATTATTTTTGCATGTTCAAACTCACCAAATCCTCCTCTGGTCAACAATCTGGAAACCATAGTCTAAAAAGAAAAAAAGTAAATCATAGTCTAAAACGAATAAAAGGTAAATTACCGGAAACCTCATGAGGTAGAGTCTAATACCAAAAAGGGCGAATGGCAAAAAGACCCATCACATGGGACTTAAATGCATTTTGGTCCACAAAAAAAACAGTCTCTCAATTAAACCCATCCCCATGTTTTTAGTCTAAAATATCCTCCATAATATAATTCTTATCAATTCCACCCATTATGCTCTAACTTTCTTAATATTACACATTGACCCCGGATTTAAACAAATATATCACATTAACCCCCAATTTTTTTTTTCAGAAAATAATTTTTTTTCTGAAATATTTTTTTTTCCGACCAGATTCCGGCGTTGACTTTTTTTTTTTGAAATTTTTTTTTCCCTGAAATTTTTTTCCGGCCGGTCAACCACCGTTGACCGTCGGTCTCCCGCGTTGACCTTTTTTTTGTTGAATTTTTTTTTCTTAGAAAAAAATATTTTAATTAATATTACTATCTTGACTACTAAATTACTGTCTCAGACAGTAATATTACTGTTTAGGACAGTAATATTATGAATATTATTTTCCCGAACAATAATATTATTAATATTATTGTCTAACATAGTTAAATTACTGTTGGATATAGTAATTTAGCAGCCAAGGCAGTAATATTAATTAAAATAATTTTTTTTAAGAAAAAAAAAAAAAGTCAATTTAACAGTTAAATTACTGCTTCCGACAGTTAAATAACTGCTGGAGACAGTAACTTAGCAACGAATACAGTAATATTTATTAAAAATATTTTTTTTAAGAATAAAAAAAGTCAATTAACAGTTAAATTACAGTCTCCAACAGTTAAATAACTGCTGGAAACAGTAATTTAGCAACGAATACAGTAATATTAATTAAAATATTTTAAAAAAAAAATTAATTAACAGTTAAATTACTGTCTCCAACAGTTAAATAACTGCTGGAGACAGTAATTTAGTAGCAAAGACAATAATATTAATTAAAATATTTTTGAAGAAAAAAAAAAGTCAATTTACAGTTAAATTACTGTCTCCGACAGTTAAATAACTGCCGGAGACAGTAATTTAGCAGCCATGACAGTAATATTAATTAAAATATTTTTTTTTAAGA